AGTTTTCACTGTCGGCCGAAGTGCGTGCATTGCACACATTGAGATTCACTCCCTCCGTACAGGCCAGTACAGAGCTGCCCACCAATTGAGTCTGTTTTGCGTACTCAGACTTCTGATTTTCCGTATCTTGCAGTGTGTTGCGTCCTGCCGTGTACATTGCATGCAAGTTGCACTACAAAGTTTTTGGACACGCACATGCATGTCGGTGGCTGCATTTGGTAGTGTAAAACATGTGTGACTTGCACTCACGACATTATTTTTTGTGCTACATGTACATGTTGTCGTGGTACGGCATGCACTCGCTTTGGTACAAGACTATTCATCGCTCAGCTTACACTTGCAATGCTTCTACACAGCTGATTGATCCTCTTCGATTTTCTATACCATTTGCTCAGATTCTGTAGTGCGGACAAGGAGTGATTTTCCGTGCAAATACAGAAAAATATGGGGGGCTGGTACTTGGTAGCACTGCTAGTATGGTAGTGCCAGGCTAAGCTGGCTGGAAGATCAAATACCTTTTTGGTTCTTTCAGTCATTTTCACGACCTATTTTTTCTTTATCATGATCCCCGGGGTGTGACGTTCTTACGAATGCAGAAATCAGTCTTTCTAACCGAGTCTCACGTGCACTGTGAATTTGTTCTTCTTTTATTCACACTGCCATGTATCGATTCATCGCTTCTTCCCACCCGAGATCCTGTGCAACAGTGATTTAAAGATTGGCTTTATCAAATAGCGATCAGAGAGAGAGAGAGAGGATCAGTTGTGGCTGCTGTGACAGCTGCATAGAGTGTAGATTGGTGCAAACATCATTGCCCAGCAGAACCGTATTTATAGGGACCTGCGTTTAGCATTTGGAAGCTATTTTTTAGAATTTTTACACGTCCAATAAGCCTGAAGCCAGAGAAGAACACCTAGCTTAGACTGTCCTAACGTTATCGAACGCACTGCCAAAGTAAAAACAACATTTGAAGTGCAAACTCGATTGTGTATGCATGGAGGGCATGGGGAAGATACGGAGAGGGTGAAAGTGAAGGAAATTTGTTCCGAAATCAAGAGAATCCGAGGAACCCTTGCTGCATTCTTCAGTTCGATAACGTCAGTGGGTGCATCTCAGATGTGTTGTGTGCCCAGACATACAAGTAGCACTAACCTGAGCATGAGAGCCGCTTGTCATCATCGTGGTCAGGAAAACGAAAGGACGAACGTAGAAGATTGTTGACCATGACGAACAACAGTGCATATCCAGACGACAGACGGCTTGCCAGAAACAGTCTGGTGCATCTTCAGGAATCTTCTTTCCTAATCGCATTCAGCAGTCAGCTTCGAGGTCAAGCTTTTCAGAAGGAATAATTTTCAATTTTTTTTAAATTTTGGAGAAGAAGCTTCCTTTCTAAAAAAAAGCGTTCCTTGCTTTCACTCAAGGTGCCTTGCCGGACATGTCGTCGACAGCACAGTGTCGGCAGATCCACGTTTGTAAGCTGCAGACCCGGCAGACGTTTTGATCAGCCCGGCCTGGTGGTGAGATTTCGGACCCAGGAGTACTAAAAACTGCTCGCATCCCAGGGTGATCAGTTTCGCTCTATCCGATCGAGTAAGGCTTCCAGAGAGTCGAGAGGTTCGTTGAGTGTTTTGTACGAGTCGTAGTTTTTGGAGCTCTGCGTCGTGAAGTTTTTTGTACCTCTGCGGGCGACTCTATCGCACAATGCTTTGACGGAATGGCGGACAGCATGGAGGGACCACCAGGGGGTCGTCATCTGGAAACCAAGGGCCAATGTTGCCGGTGCAACGGCAATGGCACCTGCTACAAATGCAAATGTGCTAAAGAGAATCGTAAGTGCACGAGGTGCGCGCCAGGACGGAAGTCGAACTGTAAGAACACCGTAACCGTACGAAAAGAGCCAGCCGTTAGTACCGTACCCAAGCCAGGGGCAGCTCCACCTGCACCTGAGCAACTCGGATTTGCGTCGCCCAACCGAAGATCGACAACCAACACACACACCACTCAGAGAACGCCTGTGTCCGGTGCAACCACAGCGGATGACATAGCCTCCGCCGCACTCGCCGCTGCTATGTCGAATGTTTCAAGCTCTCAACAGCTAGCATGGAACTTACTGGAATCCGCGGAGTCAAGCACCAGTTCAGAAGTGTCAACTTGCAAGCATGCTGACGATGTCAGACCTACACAGCGTGACATGACAATGAGGCCGACTACCACAGCTGAGACCCCAGAGTCACTCACGTCTGCTCTGCTTGCGGAGTGCCGACAAGAGACTGTTTCAAATTCTCAACAGCAGGCGTGGGACATATTAGACCAACAGCATGACACTGACCCACGCGAAATCCACACACATGCCCAAGCTGCAGAGTGTCGCGACCCGGGTGCTGCCCATGTGGGTAGTAGTAGTAGTAGTTCTAGTTCTAGTTTTGCGGGCGGCCGAGCGGAGCAGGCGGCTAGAACACCGGCCGGCGGCACGAGCCAGCTTCGACTCGATGCGGATGAACCAGGTACGGATTCGGCAGAAACGGGGCAAGTATTACTGGACAGTGCTAGAGCCGATCCAGAAGACTCTCTCGCGGAAGCCGCACATCTGCTTGCAGGTCTAGATAGTAGTCAAGCAACACAGATTCATGCAACCTTGCCCTTGGACGAGACCCTCCATCAAGACGCAAACAGGCAGGACAACAATACGCTGCCACAACATTCGCCTGCAGCGACTGGTGCATTCACCCTGGGAACTATGGACAGCCAAACTACGGCAGCCACCATCAATGCCGCATATGAGGAGGCAGTACATTTCAGGCCAAATACCTTCAATGTGCCACATGGATCTTCTGGAAAGGCATTTGTAGCACAACTGAGTGTCTATCTGCAGGGCTTTGGAGATTCAGGACCCTTTGAGGGTCAAGCCCTCAGAATTGCCATGGTGTTCCAGCAACTACTCCTTCAGAAAACAAGACCACCATCACAGTCACTCGCAAAGTGTCTCCAAACCCGCTTGCACCAGTGGAATAACGGCGAGATAGATCAACTACGCCATGAATGTCGCACGATCCAACAGCTTCTTCAACGTCAGTCATCCACAACTGCTCAGTCCACAGACGCACGGCACTTTGCCAACCTTGTGACGGGTGGAAAGTTAACCTCCGCCATCCACATGTTGCAGGAGGGTGGTCG